TGTCAAAGTTACGGTTTTATATTTTTAGTTATGAAAGCCAATTCCATCCAATTCGTGACAAACGCTCATTTTTTTTTAGCTAGAACCTATAACAAAACAAAAGAAGAAATTCTCGCTAATTTAGTATCTTTAAATTGTTAATTAATTAAAAATTTTAAACCGTAGCTTGTTTTGACTACACTACATTAATTGTTTGCCATGAAGATTACTGGAAAAAAATCGTTAGTACACTACTTGCGTCAGTTTGTTGAACACTAATCTTTACTAACTAGTAGCGACGCAGCAGTTTTGTCGATCAATTTTATGCATAAAATCTTATAGTAGTCGCATTATTATAGCACCTTGCATAGTTTTGATTAATTAGTGCGTGAAATACCCCAGAAATTCGTTATGCAGTTTAGATTTAGATATAACTATAAATATAAATCAAATTTATATTGTTAAGTTTTTAATAAGCATATCAACATTTTTAACAAATGCAATATATATAATATATCAAATACATTCTTAACAAATGCAATATATATAATATAACAAATACGTATTTAGAAAGATACAGTCAAACCTATGATCGGGCTATTCGAGGTTTATGTGTATTTAGTAAATTCAATTATTTACTATGACCGCTTCTGGAACCAACTTTGGTTTATCCGGAGTTTATTAAATGTCCAGCGATACCTGTAATAACTTGACACTAGTGTTTGGACTCGAGTGAACTTATTTTTGACTCGAGTTAAGCGAAGTCGAAATTTTCTAACTCAAAGAGTATTCAAGATTTTTTTAATTCGAAGAAATATTCGAGTCTTACTTGACTTGACTCGAGTCCAAATATACAGACTTTCTGCAAAAACAAGATTCAAAGTCTAATTGGATCACATGCGCGACGAATGGTATGATTGAGTTAACAATCACATTCGTTATTCACGGATTTAATGATTGGGTGAAATCAGGCGTGGAATCAACATAGTGAATTATATGATTTTAACATTAGAACATCCGTGTGTGTTATTTCGGGTACCCAGATTGAAAAATACTAATCCGGTTTGATCCGGATGAACTGAATCCGGTTCCAATCTCGAATTTATCTTCTTTAACATTGTTTAAAATCCATGCAAGTTTAAGAGAGTAACGAAAATGACATTATTTGATTTTGTATACTTTGACTTTTGGTCGTGCAACTATTTAAAAATACAAATATGCATTTGAGATTTAACACCAAAGTATTATTATTATTAGTATGATTAATTAGTATGATTATTACTACTACTGCTACTGTCATTAGTGTGATTAGTTAATATGATTGGTAAAGTCGTCATTTCACTATACATAAAGCTTTCATAACGTGCAATATTACGTCATAATCTCACATTCAACGTCTGTTGTTACTATTGGATTTACTCTCATTGTGCGTGTTGGACTCTTATCGCTATGGCGTATGTTTAATTGTGCATGTGCATGCAAATGCGAGTGTGTATGGCTTTCATGTTTTAGGCGAGAAAAAAGCAAGATGGAAGAAACAAGAAAAACAGAATAAATTCTTGATGTGACCGTATGACATTATTGTAAATTAGTCGTATGACTGACCGACTATTGAAGCGAGTGTGTGGGGTAATGAAATAAGATTTAAGGTTTCGCTTATTGTCAAATGTCGATGGCCACTGTCGTGGGATAATTATGACCGTTTTGGTTCATCCAGTGGGATACATTCTTTCGAATTCGAACCAAACTCAATTGATTTCTTCCATATGAAAGTCTTTCCCAATTAAAAAACTGTTTCCGATGAGGGTGTGTATGCATTATTCATTGATCAAGGTTTTCTATTATATCGTTGTGCTTACGTGTTTCCTGTTATCCGAAGAAAATGAAACAAATGAAGATTTCAATGTTAATTGAATGAAATGCAGTACTAGTATTTGATTGCCATATAAGAATAATAATAGTTCAGTTCGGAAAATGGTTATCACGAGTCAGATGATTGTTCTTAGCATTAGTATTATTATCATTACCTAGACAATAGAATTAATTTTTGAATTTCAAATGCACAGCTGTCAAACCGGAAAAATATCTTATTCGATAATAAAAATAGAATCTCTCCATAGAATCTCTATCGAATACACGAAGTCTGTCATAATATTAATTTTCCTCAAAGGTAAGTATTTATCCTTATCACTTGTGACCATTACCAGCTGACATTTATCGTGGCTGTTGTTGTTACTAATTAATTAAACATAATCCAATTCTACGTTCTCGAACGAAAAATCTTTTTTTGAGAAAAAACAAAGTTTTACGCCAGCAAAATGGTTATTGGTTATTTTATTTTGGCATTCATGTGTGGATACGGAGTGTATGCATGCTATAGATAGATTCTAATAGTAACAATGATAATACTTTAGCAATAAAAAAATTATGAATAATGATAATACCAATAATAACGGAAAAGTGGAAACATCCACCCCAAAGTAAAACAAAAGCACATTCATGCGCATCATCTCTCAAAGAGACCGAACACGGAACGAGAGAAAATGAGATGAAAGCCAAACAAATATCACATTTACGCTGTAAACAATTGCAAAGATAAATAATTAATCCCCATTTATCCATTTGACAAAGTGTTTAACCAATTTCATTTAAATTTTACTGCTAGAAATGAAACTATCCAATCAAAATGCCACAACCAATCTTTGCTAACCAAATCAAGAAAATTATATGTGGGGTAATTTATATTGACAATACATTTCGATTTAGTTTGGCTGAGTTTCACTGGTGTGTGTGTGTGTGAATGGCGCATTCAAATTAACATCTCCAAAAATAATTTTTTTGGATATCCTTTTTCAAGCTTGAAAAGAACAGCTGATCATCACGAGATATACGGTATTTTCTCCTCTTCCTTTTCTACCCTAAAGATAACACGCAAGAAAAAGCCTCTCTTACACGCAATTCACAACTAATAGGCCACATCGAATAGAATTAGTCCAATACATTTGACATGCATTTGCCATTGTATACGAATAAGGAAATAATTCTATGTTGAATCGGATATTTCGGCCTACCCTTTTGCTTTTTCCCTTTCTTTTTATGGGATCATCATCGTATGATTAGTATGGACCGAGAAAACCGAAGAGAGAGTGCATATACTCCTGCATTCTTTAGAAGATTTTCTACGTTGGGTCAAATGGAATTATATTATTTTTCCACCACAAATAATAAACTGAATTCAGCTAGAGCAAGTAAATTTTCCAATTTTTATTTTTGTTTATTTTGTTTTATGCGTATGTCTTAAAAAGGGAACCCAAACTCGTTACATAGTATAGAATAAACTACAAACAAATAAGGAAATACAAGAGAAAAGAATTAATTATTATTATTTATTATTTATCACCGAACCAGTCCGATGAAAATCGTTTCACTAAGTTATAAGAAATAGAATGTCCTTGCTGAAAAAAAATGCATATGATTGTTGTTCATGATTATGATGATGTGGATGAATTAAAAAAACAAAACTCAATCCTAAAAAATGTTGTTGGTTATAACTATATTATAAAAGTATGCGCGTGTGTGAGATAATATATCTATATGTATGTAAATGAAATAAAGTATAAATATTAACTTGGCATGAAAAAAATCTATATTGCGATTGTTCTTATTGTTATGTTTTTTACCACAAAATTGGGGTGTCAAAAAAATGGGGGTTATCCGAGGGATGTGATGAACAAGACGAATTAAAGGAGTGGCGTGTGTTTAAAAAGAGTGACTCTAAAGGTTAGTTTTCATTAAATGATCATTATAAAGTAAGGATTAAAGCTGGTATCCACCAATATAGTCGATAGAAGATATGATGTGCGTCGTCGTCATTTACCACTATGTTGTGAGCGTGTTTTGCTTATTTATGTACAATTCCGGATGTTGAAAGGACGTGCGTGCTTGGGAAGAATGTGAATGCTCGTTATCATTATTGTCATCGGGGATTTTCGTCGTCTTCGTCAAGAATGAATGATTCTTTCCCAACACGTTTAATGATCCAGGAATATTAACATTATCATTATCATCATTGTAATTATTGTCATTATTATTGTTTGTTATTCTTGTCATCGTTATGATTAGATGACAATGTGGGTCATGAAGTGGTGGCGACTAATAATTCTGGTTTCTTGATCTCTATTCCTTCACCGATCGCTTTCTCTATTACCGTCTTTAACTCGTCTAAGTCGATCGGTTTTGCGACACATCCATTCTAGAATCAAAGGAAAAAAAATAACAAATTAGATTATCTTTCTTTGTTGTTGGACATATATATGTGTGTGTATGCGTGGAAACATGTCTGTATATATCTGCACCCGCAGTCAAAAAATTGATCTTGTGAAACAAATCAACATTTTGTGGGGTGAAGTTTGTATAGCCGAGGAATAATGGTAAGAATAGATGTGCGTGTTTGGTTGCCATATATAGTCGACAAGCAAAGTGTGTTGGTCGGAAGATCGGAGTAAATGTGTAACGTTTTCGTTTGTTTCGTATTATCATAATCGATGTCGCGAGAACAAGATTGAGCGCAGTATCATCGAGGAAAAAAACGCGCGAAAAAAATTCACATACACGCACAATCACATTTACACGCATACACATACATATATGTAGATATTTTTGGAAAAAACGCGTCGTCTTAATTGAATCCAAAAATACATACCATACCAGCCTCTGTATACTTTTTGCGTTCATCCTCGAGAGTATTTGTTGTGACGGCGATGATTGGTATTTTTCGATTACTCTCTAAAATTTTATATTTACTATCAACACGACGAATCTCTATTGTCGTCTCAACACCACTTAATACTGGCATCTCAATGTCAATCAATATCAAATCGTATTCATCTTTCGCTAGCGAGTCTAATGCCGATACACCGCTGCTCAACGTCGAAGTGGCTTGTATCAAGTGACCAAAATGCTTAGCTAATATCTTTGTTAATATTTTCAGATTTATATCATTATCATCAACTATAAGAACTTTGAGCGGTTTTGAAGAAAACTGGGAAGGGGAAGAAGCTTGGGGCGATTCAGACACCATTATTGATATTATTGGGGTATTTGTTGGTGTTGTTGGTTTGCTGAGCAAAGTTGTTGTCACTTTTGATGTGACGAAATTTGGGTTACCAACGGAAACTGGTGGTAAGCAAACGGGGCTAACAAGCATTTAAGAAACTATTACGTTGGAATAATTTTCCTTTCGTGTTTGGTTTTTTTTTTGCAAAGTGTGAGTAAGCGAAGAAAATTGTGGTTGTTATGATGATTATTATTAATATTATTACTAATAATCAACTTTTTTTTGTTTTCTATGTGCTGCTGTCGTGGTCTTTTTATTGTTTGAAGTTTTCACTGTGGTTTTGTTGTGGTTTTGTGGTAGTGGTTGTGGTGTTGCTGGTGTTAGTAGTTGTAGTCCCAGTTGTTGGTTTGGTATTTTGTACTGGCAAAGTTTAATTTTGTACGGCAAAGTTTAAAATGGTGTGGTGAAGAGAGAAAAAAATATATGCAAGTGTGGGTTGATGTAGATGTGGTAATAGTAAATATAGTAATAATAAAGTTATTGAGTAAAAGTCAAAAATCTCGAGTGTAATTATAATAAAAAAAAATAAAATCAAGTTTAAGTTTAAATAGCAAAAAATAGAATACAATAACTAATATTAGTTTAATTCTCGTGTTATTTGTTTGCTACTTATACAAAAGTACAATGAGGATGCGGTATGTGTGTGGTTGTCGATGATGATGTGAGAGAAATTTCTCTTTTGTTGTTTGGTTTTTATTTCTATTGTTAATATGGTATTTATTTACCCGTATTATTATTATTTATACTGTATCGGTATGTATAATAATACTCTATATAAATTATAAATATAAATAATATATTAAATAGTATATTAAATAATATATTTGTATGTTATTCAGCCACTAGGAAAAGGTCAACTTCGATCGAAAGGGCTAAACGGGAAAGGAGAAAAGAGAGCGTGTATGAAAGAATATGAATTATAGACGCGAAGATTTACTTATTCATCTATCACTATTTATCTATCTATATAAAGAGAGAGATATATATATATATTAATTTATTTATTTATTTAAGCCATAGAGTAGTAGAATATTGATGACGAATAATAGAGATATGTTAGGTGTTATAGCAATGACGGAAGGAAGACTGTAGATTCGTAGATTGAATTTATAGTTTTTTTTTTTCGCACACGAGGTTTCTAGGAGTGTTCGCGAGGAGTCGCTGTTATTGTTATTATTTTTATTATTATCACCATCTGAACTAATATTTGATACGACAATGATGATTTTGATGTGTAGGAAATTAAACGATTAATATTCACAGACTAACAATAGTAGCGCGATGCATGTTTTAGTTTTTTTTTTTTGGCCCTGCAGGATCAGAGGAAACTTGATCAAGAAATTAATTGCCACGATTAATTATCGTAATTAATTATCGTTTATCCCCCATCTAGTTATTATTTGTTTGTGATGGGTAGGCGGTAAATAATAATGTATTATAATAATTGTCACAATTATCATGAAAGAATCTTCGAACAATTAATTTATTCTATTCATTCACTATTCACTGATACAGGAAAATGGAAGGCGAATGACTAGCAAATAGGCATGTGTATGATATTTCTGTTAAATTTGCTATATCTGTTGTCTATTATGGTCTATTTTGCCTGTTCGACTTTCTGTTTCCATCGGCTTGCTTATGTATGTATGTATGTATGCACGTATATATGTATATATGTATATATGTATATATGTATACATATATGTGTATATATGTATATGTGGGTGCGTATGTATGTATGGAAAAAGACCACGTAGAAGAAAAAGGGAGGATTAATTATTTTTAAATTTTCTTCATTTATAAGTAATAATGAATTTGTCGTCCCAGTATGACCCAATCAATAACAATTGTATTTTCCATCTTTAATTCTTGTTCATTTTGATTTTTTTTCTCATTCTACATCGACATAATTCCCGTATAAATGAGAAGTTTCGAAAATTCCTGAAAATCAACCGAATGACTTGATCATTCTCTTTGTGTGCAACGCGGAACTAGGAGATGGTGAAGATCGATGAGAAGTCAAATGTGTGAGAGACACTGTGTGGCGGGAAAAACATGAAACGACCAAAGAAATCATGTGTCGTTGAAAATTTGTCGACTTTGTTTCGATGGGGAATTTTTGATGTTGTTTATGGTCAAACAAAAAAAAAGCAAGACGATTGTTTATGTAATAAGAAAGGGATGCCGTGGCGGATTCGATGGGTTGATCTCGCAGCGATTGCATATTCTTTCGTTGCGCGAATATTATAAATCATATTGTACGTGTACTTGAGAACGTACATATCCGGTTGAATCAAGGGGACGAGGATTAGATAAGAAACAAGCAAGACCAAGTAAATATGTAGGCGCCGCGTGTGCGTCTTCACTTGCTCGTTCAACAATATTCGCTCAATAAATATTCGCTCGATGAATTGATACGCCCTTTTTTTTTAATTTATTTAATATTAATCTGATGGGGCGCGTGGGCATAAAGATGCATAATAATAAATCAACAGAATTAATAGTCGATTTGACGAGATTAATTGATGAATTGCTTATTTTTTTTTTATTTTATCTTATTAGTGTATACACATACGCGCACACAAAAAATTAGAACACGCAGGAAGAACACACAGAATAACAAAAAACACAAAGGTACAGAACAGAAGATAATTGATGTTGATAGTAATTGACATATATAGTAAAAAGACAATAGAGAATAAAACAACTTGGGTATAAATGAATTTACAAAATAAAAGATTACCAAATATATGATCTTTGTACATACCGAAACATTTAAAATAAACCAATCCGGTTTAAAAATAGAACATACAAAAATACAAACGTCGAAATCCTGAAATTTGATTTCATGGTAAATCGATTCTAAATACTAACATCATACTGAACGGATGCTTTTTGTCATAACGAAAATCAGGGGAAGTTAAAAAGAGTCAAAGTGCAAATCAAATCGTGTTTGTGAGCCGGTGTGTTCTATTTCGAAACAAAGGGTTCACATCAAGAACAAGTCTCATATAACTCATTCCCTCTGTTCATATCAAGATTCAGGTTACTTCTCGAGGCTTTGCTTTGACACGTTGCTCTCTTTCTTTCTTTTAGGCATTCTCTCACGCCTTCTCCTATTCTTTGCATGACTTTAGATCTTTAACAAAACGGGATATTGCGACACATTCTAAATTATAAATCATCCTCCGATGGCATTCGAGTTTGATAATTATGGTTTAGATTGATTGAACGCTTCATCCGTGATATTTCAACTGAACGGAGAGACCAAAAAAGATTTGTATTCATTGTCCAAAATACTTTATGCCAAGATTTCCATCTACATGTATACATTAATGCATGTATGTATACAGATTTTCATCTTAAGCCAAGGAAAAAATTTATATATATATATACAGATCGTACGAGACGTTGTATTGCCAACACATGGCTATGTTGAATGAAACGATCTGCTAATTTGATGCTTTGCCAAATATTCGCCGAGAATTTTTCTCACACAAGAATTTTTTTAAGTTTATGCGGCATAGTATTTCACCGTACCGCTCATTCATTCAATGATTTTTTTACATAAATAGATATCTATAACGATAACAAATTTCCTGGTATGATTTACCATTGAAGTTCGTGTATGACCGATAATCGTTTTATATATCTGTATTAGAAGTTAACAATGAATCGACGTATTTGTTACACAGATTCATTAAATACAGATGAGAAGACCCTCTTTTTCGCACGCGTCTTAATAAAAAACATAATACAGCATTCTTGCATTATCATTGAACGAACGAGCGAACAGGAGAGGGAGATCAACCAGTTTTTATAAATGGTCTATTTTTATTTTGTGTGTCATGTATCTATGTGTGTCGCACTGGGAAAAACTATCAATGAACTTGATTAGTGGTAGAATCAGCTGATCTCTCGGAACAGTAGGAGTAAATTTTTTGTTTGTGAAAAGGCGATATAAAACGGGCTTAACTAGTGAACACACACATGACACAAGGTAGATCAGCTGTTCGGACTGTAAAACGCTTTTGGAAGATTCGAGAATGGGATTTCTCGGAAGATATTCGCTTTGTGTGTGTGTGTGATCACATTTTTCAGATTTTTTTTTCGGTTTAAAGTTATAGTAGATAGTATGACACAGTATCGAATGCTAGGGTGCGCCAAGGCGTGACCTATTATTTTGATTCATATGCATCTTTGGATTAGTAATTTGGTATCGGAATGAGTGCCGAGACTGCGTATGTATTACTACAATGACTTTCTTTGTTCTTTCCTAAACATGCAAACTATTGTTTAATGTTAATGTTAACAAAGAAATCATCCGTTTATTCGTCACACGAAGTGATGTCTACGATTCGATAATCTAAAACGAGAGAAAAAGATTCGATTTTTAATTTCGAATGAACAAAAACGATCGATGTTACACTTATTATTGAAAAATATAATGAACAAATTATTGACACGAGTCTAGAAAGATGATTTGTTACGGAGCAAATTCGTCAAATAGAGAGTGAGTACGTAACGTTGAGATACAATATATAAACGTGCTTATACAATTCGTATCCAGGGGCTACAAAATTATTTGAATAAAATTTTGATCAGCTATCTGTAAAAATTACGTAAAAATAACTTATTATATATATATATATGACAAATATGCTTCATTGAATACAAAACATTTATATAATAGCTAATGAAATGATTTCTTTTCTTTAAAAAAAAATAGTAAAGTACACTAAATACCCAAACGTTGATTATGAAATTCTGACCAACATTTGTAAAAACTCCAAATATTTGTAGGGATTTGAACTGTGTCTAAAAACTTCACCTGTCCGTGTCCCTTAAAATCGGGTATCCGTGTGAATTCGGGTGAAATTGGGTTAAATTTTGCTAAGCAAAATTTCACCCGGATTGCACAAATCCGGATGAAATATAACGTCAATATGATCAAAATAGCAAATTACACATGTATAATGAGAACATGCATATATTTATTAAGAATTTATAATATATCTATAATATTATTTAGACAGTCCCATATAACATATAGTGTCAATTTCAGAAGGTCAAAATAAAATGACAATGCC